ATGCTGATAAGGAGGTTGACCCCTTTCCTGCGATTTATACTCCTGTTTATCCTTCTGCTCCTCCCCGTATCTCCATTACAACTAGTTTCCCCATGCTGTGGATCACATGTTTGTTCTCATGTTTTTTTTTTTGCGGTGGCGACCTTGCAGATAGTTTGGTTTTATTAGCAATCGACTGCTTTTGTGGACGGCTTGTCCATGGTTTCCTCGTGTTTAGGGTCAACGTCTAGATTCCTTGTGTGAGGGCTTGGACAGCCAATAAGCAACACATAAAGAGCTGAATCGGCGTACTAGAGACGGTAGGGAGGAGAGCAGAAGGAGCAGGAGAGAGGAGGGACCTGAGAGGATGAGGGAGGAGGAGGAGGAGGAGGCTCATTCCTCCACCTCTTCCTCCTCTTGCTGCTCCTCCTCTCTCCTCCACTTTCTTCTTCCCCCCTTCGCAATTATTCAATCTGAATCTTGCTCTCCTCTCTCCCCGGACTCTGTCAAGAAGATGTTCCGCCCTTTCCGCGTACGTTTTTGTGTACACAGGATTGGGCAAAGGTGTTTTCTCTTGTGGTGCTTCATGCTTCGGTGTTTTGAAATTGTGCTTCGGCAAAGGCGATTGTTATCGGTGCCTCAAATCGGTGCTCCCGCTGGAGCGTGGGCCTCATTTCCGGATCGGCGTTGTGCTCCTGTCGTTCAGAAAGGCGCTCTCGCTTCAGCGCGGGCCACTTTCCTGGATCGGAGTCTTTATGTTTCGCCATCATTTCTCTCCTTTCCGCCTTTCCCTGATCCTCCTGCTCCTCCCGCTCCTGCCACTCCAGTTCCTGCTGCTGCTGTTCTTCCTCGTTCTCCTCTCTTTTTTTCCTCCCTGCTCATCCTCCTGCTCACCCGCCACCTCTCATCCTTCGTACGCAGCTCTTCTTTTCCAATTGTACATAATACGAGGGGTTTCTTTTGGAGTTCCAAGTCGGCTATAACACACGTCTTCGGAGAGCGAAAGACTCAGCGCAATGGGATTGGATGGATTGGATGGGGTAGGATGTCAAATATGGCGCGAGCGGACCTATCGTGTCCTCTCCTCTCTCTCACTATCCTTCTCCTTGCACCCTACACGCTCCTGCTCCTCCTGCTCCTCCTGGTACTCCCCCTCCAACACCCTTTCTCAGAGGATTCAGCGCCTCACCTTTCGAGAGATAGAGAGAGGGAGAGAGCGAAATATATTGAGAGAGAGAGACATCATTCTCTTTCTATATCTATATATCTATATATCTATATATATAGGGAGAGAGAGAGAGAGAGAGAGTCAAAGAGAGAGATGCCTTGGAGGGTGGGGGTGGGGTGTGGGTGGGTGGGTGGGTGGGGGGCGCGAGGAGGGGGCGGTGGGGCTTTGGGAGGCCGGAGTAAGTTTTTATTTGTTCGGTCATTCATTTGCGTGTGTGTGGGTGGGGGTTGCCACAAGGCTACGTGAAACTAGCTACTATTCATCCCATGCTAGCTCTCGCGACAGCGGTGCCACTTGTTTTTTCTTTATTATGTGTCTCTTCGCGGTGCTTTCGGGCTTGCCGTTGACCCCTGCTTTGCAGTCTCTCTGTTTCGCTAGCGTGGCTTTCTGCCCCTGGCGTGGCCCGTGGCAACTGCAGCTCAGTTGTCGGCTACTCTCGACCTTGCTGGGACGTCTGCTGCTTGCATGTGCCCACGATTTTTTTTTGAATGAAGCGGTTGCTGATCGCGGTCGCCCGCGTTCAGCCTTGTCTTTTGTTGTCCAAGGCTAAGTCAGCCTCGGCCGCGTGATCATCTTTGTCACGCCGACATCTTGCTTTCTGTTGCATGGTCGCTTATGTGGTTCGTGCCCGTTGCAAGGCCGGTGGCGGCGCTATGTCGTGCAGCTCCCTGCGCTTTTACGCCGCCACCAGGTGGCTGGTCCGGCAGCCTTACAGTTCTCTTTTAATGCCTCTTCAGGCTTTAACGCGCACCAGAGATCTGGTTGCACTTCAAATCTCTTGCGTCGAACTTTCGCTCCGTGGGATCTTTGGCCGCTGCATCTTGACTTTGCAGCGCCTCTCCTTTCCCACCGCCAACCTGCCTGGCCGTGGCTGGACTCTTTCATCATGGCGCGTTCGATTAGGTTCGTTCGCAATTGGCACTTCCACCTGCCGACCGCGCCTGAGGTTCATCTGCGCCGTCGACTTAAAAGTGTGTTTGGGTGTGCGCGTGTGCGTGCGCGTTCGCGCGAGTATGTGTGTGTGTGTGGTGATCGGCAGGGCGGACCCTCTGTGCTGATCGCATCGGGCTCCTCCTCGGCCTGCCTGTGCGGCATCCCTCCGATCCCCTGTGCGCCCTCCCGCCTCCGCCCCGCGCGCGTGGCGTCGCCTCCCCCCTTCTGCGCTGGGGCGCCCTCCTCGGCTCGTGATCGCCAAGGTGGACCCTCTGTGCTGATCGTCGGGGCTTGGCCTCTCGTTCCACGCCCGCTCCGTGCCGGCGCGGCGCTGCCGGGCACCAGGGTGGGCCTTCTGTGCTGATCGCTCTGCCGGCTCGGGCGTTGGCCATCCCCGCCCTGGCTCTCTCGGCTCAGCCATTTTGCTGGCTGTCTCGCTGGCGTCCCCGGTCCAACCGATCGTCTGGGTGGGCCCTCTGTGTCGACTGTCGAGCGGACCGCCCCTCTCTGTGGTGCGCCTGCCGCGTTCCGGTCTTGCCGAGCGGTCTGGCACGTCGTGTCTGTCTGCCTCGCTTCGCCAAAGCGGCGGGCTCTTCTGTCCGCCCCTCGCGTTGTCCGCATTCCGGTCTTGCCGTGCGCTTGCACATCGCTTCTTTCTGCCGCTTCCCGCCGCTGGTCCAGCGGCCCTCTCCTTCGCCCGCCTAGCCCTGGCCCTCGCGCCGCCCCTGTTCTGGGCGCCACCCCCCCTCTGCGGCAGCTGTCTTTTGCCCACCGCTGCCACGCGGCTACTGGTGCTGTTGGCCCCCCGGGGGCCCGGCCATTTTTCTGACCCTACCGCCGCGTGCGCGACCGCGGGACTTTCTTGACGGCATGGCGGGTCGCCTGCCCGTGGACGACCGAAAAGTGTGTGTGTGTGTGTCTCTTTGTTGCCAGATCTGCCACGGCATCCTTGCCTCTTCTCCCTTTGTGCCCCCCTGACTGCCCTTGGTTGGCTGTGGCACTTGCTGGCCGTTGGCCCATGTCCCCCTGCCCTCCTCGGACTTCTACGTCGGCCTCGGTCTCCTGATCGTTCCACGGTGCTTACTCGGTCCCCTCGTCATTCAGTCCCGGATGGCTTATGCCACGCTCCACCGCACCGTTTTCTCGTCTTCCTACGGTGCCCCGTGCCGTCCACGCCGGGTTGGCTCTTGGCTGCCAGCGGCTGCGGGACCCTAAACGGTGTCTGAGAGTTCGGGTGTGCATAGTCGCGGGCGCGCGTTTGCTGCTTTTCGACCTTCATTGCCCTGTCGCTGCGCGCAGGGACGCGACACCAAAAAGTGTGTGTATATGTCTATATATATATATATATAGAGATTTTTCGCTTCCGCTTTCCGACCTTCGATGCCTCGAGTTTGGGCGCGGGGCCGCGACGCCAAACAAGTGTGTATGTGTGTGTGTGTGTATGTCTGCCGACCGCGCCTGAGGGTCCGCTGCGCCGCCGACTTACAGAGTGTATGTGTATGTGTGTGTGTGTGTGTGTGTGTGTGTCTTGTGTTACGTCGCCGAGCCGCTGCGCGCGTGGTTGCGACGCCGAACAAGTGTGTGCGTGTGTGTGTGTGTGTGTGTGTTTCTGGGTGTGCGCGGGTGTTCGGCTGGGCGTAGACGGGCGCGCTTCGCTGCCTGTTTCCGACTTTCTACGCCCCGTCGCTGCGTGCGGGGCTGCGACGTCAAACAAGTATGTGTGTGTGTGTGTGTGTGTGTCCGTGTTTGTTTGTTTATTCGTTTGTTTTTGTGTGTGTGTGTGCGTATGTTTTTTGTTGTTGTTGTGTGTGTGTGTTTGTTTGTTTGTTTGTTTGTGTGTGTGTGTGTGTGAATGCCTGCGTGCGCGCGTGTTTTTTTTTTTTTTTTTTTGTTTGTGTGTGTGTGTGTGTGCGCGTGCGCGTGCGTGCGTGCGTGCGTGCGTGCGTGCGTGCGTGCGCGTGTGTGTGTGTGTGTGTGTGTGTGTGTGTGTGTGTGTGTGTGTGTGCGTGTGCGTGTGCGTGTGCGTGTGCGTGTGCGTGTGCGTGTGCGTGTGCGTGCGCGTGTGCGTGTGCGTGTGGGTGTGTGTGTGTGTGTGTGTGTGTTTGAACCTTTCGTTGGCTTTGTTGGTTGGTAACTCAGGGAACCATGCATCTGTAATTTGCACATGAATTACCCCGTTACCGTCAGCCAAAATAGAGGATGCACAATAAAGTATTTTTTGAGCCACCACAGACAGGAAATTGGTCGAATGAGGTGAACGGGGGATGATGCTGATGATTGTGGTGATGGTGTTGATGATGACGCTGGCAATGCTGCTGTGATAATTGTGATGGTGACGATGTTGTTGTCATGCTAATGATGTTGATGATGATGATCATGATGATTACATTGGTGGTGATGCAGTGTGTGATTATGATGGTGGTGATGATGATGGTTGCGGTGGTGGTGGTGCTGATGATGATCATGATGGCCAGGATTATGATAATGATGGCCATGATGATGATGATGATGATGATGATGATGATGATGATGATGATGCTGATGATTATGATTATGTTGCCTGTGATGGTGATGCTGATGGTGTTCTATTCATGCTGATAGCGCTCCTGGTTACGAGGATGATGATGAGGAGGTGCTGGAGGGTGGAGGAGCAGGAGGCAATAGGAGGGAGGAAAGGTAGGATAAGATGGATGAGGAGGAGGAGGAAGACGAGGAGGAGGAAGAGGAGGAGGAGGAGGAGGCCGAGGAGGAGGAGGAGGAGGATGGAGGGGGAGGAGGAGGAGGAAGAAGAGGAGGAGGAGGAGGAAGGAAAGAGTAGCGGCGACAGAAGGGGGTCGAAGGCGCCCCCACGCTTACCCAGTCTAGAGCTGCAGTGCGGGCCAGGGTCGCTCACAGCAGCATCCGGCCATGTGCCCCAGCCGCTGCACCTGCTGGCCCTGCCGTTCACCACCATATTCGAGTACTTGTTCCTGCTGAGAGAGTCCTGCCAGTCTCTGGAGCGTGCTGGCCGCGGCGCGCTGCTGCTGCTGGCGGCCGCGGTGTCCGACTTTTACCTGCCGGAGGAAGACATGGCAGTAGAAAAGATACAGAGCCGCGCCGCTGATGGCTTGCACATCCACCTGCGGAACGTTCCCAAGCTGCTTGGGGCGGTGCGCTCGTGGGCGCCTGATGCGCTGCTGGTTTCCTTCAAACTGGAGACGAACGCCAACATTCTGGACGCCAAGGCCGCGGGTGCAATCTGCAAGTACGGCGTCGATGCCGTGTGCGCAAACCTGCTGCACAGCTACCGAGAGTGGGTGAATTTGTTGCAGAGGGACCCCCACTCGTCTCGGATAGAGCTTCCCACCCAGGATGTCACTGGAGCAGAGAAGGAGCCGCTGGTGGTCCGTGGACTTCTCTGCGAGCGCATCGAGAAAGGCCAGTGCGATGCGTCCACAGATCGGCCGCTAGCGCGTGCTGTCGTTCGGCTGCACGAAGCCCATGTGTCCCGTGCATCATCTGAGCATGCCAGCAAACGCCTGCGCACGGATACGTAAGTGACCCTCTGATCGGTGTGGTCTCACAGAGCTTCCAACGGGTTGGACTGACTCAGGGGTGCGCGGACCACTGGGAGCAGCAAGGAGCAGCGAGTGCAACGAGTGAGGACCAGATGAGGATTATAAGGATCAGGGCAAGTCCGCCAGAATAGAAGAGAGCTGGATGAGGCACTACGTACACACATGTCTATATGTGTGTATATTCATACACCTATACATACATACATCCATATATATACACATGTATGCACGTACATACGTACGTATGTATGCATATACGTGTATATGTCTATATATATGTATATGTACATGTCTATGTGTATGTATATGTACAGGTACATGTATTTATGTATGTAGGTATGTATACATGTGTGTATGTATGCATTTATGTATGTATGTTTGTAGGTATGTATATCTGAATGTTGTTTGTATATCTGTACATAGGTGTGCTTGTGTGTATGCATGATTGCATGCATGCATGCATGCATGCATGCATATGTACATGGTAGCCCCCCCCCACGGGGACCCCATCTTCACAAATGCAAGCCCGAGAGCTTTAAACGAAGAAGCTCGTTCATATGTTGATGTAGATGTTGATCATATGCTATTGCAAGAACGTTTGCAAAAACACTAGGAAAACCGTACAATCAAAAGCAATACGAAATCCATACAATTAAGAATAATAAGAACGCGTACAATCAAAACACGATAAGGAATATTACAATGGAAAACAATAAGAAAACCTTACAATGGAAAACAAACAGAAAACCTTAAAATGGAAAACAATCAGAAACCTTACACTGGAAACCAATAAGAAAACCTTACACTGGAAACAAAAGGAAAACCTTACAATGGAAACCAATAAGAAGACGTCTTGGGTATACGAAACGCTGGCTGGGACTGAAAACAACAAAAAAACAAACAAACAAACAACCCAAACAACGCTGGCAGGGACAGAAAAAAACCAAAAATCAAAGGTTTCGGGCCCTCCGCCGAGATCCGCCCAACAATGGAAAACAATAAGAGAAACCTTACACGGGAAAACAATAAGAAAACCTTACACTGGAAAACAATAAGAAAACCTTGCAATGGAAAACAATTAGAAAACCTTACAATGGAAAACGACAAGAAAACCTTACAATGGAAAACAATAAGGAAACCTTACAATGGAAAACAAAAAGAAAACCTTACAACGCAAAACAATAAGAAAACCTTACAATGGAAAACAATAGGAAGACGTCTTGGGTACACGAAACGCTGGCAGGGACTGAAAAACAAACAAAAAAAACCAAACAACAACCCAAAAAACGCTGGCAGGGACAGAAAAACCAAAAATCAAAGGTTTCGGGCCCTCCGCCGAGATCCGCCCAACAATGGAAAACAATCAGAAACCTTACACTGGAAAACAACAAGAAAACCTTACAATGGAAAACAATACGAAAACCTTGCAATGGAAAACAATAAGAAAACCTTACTACGGAAAACAATATGAAAACCTTACAATGGAAAACAATCAGAAAACCTTACAATGGAAAACAATAAGAAAACGTCTTGGGCACACGAAACGCTGGCAGGGACTGGAAAACAAACAACGAAAAACAGAACAACAACCAAAAAAACGCTGGCAGGGACAGAAAAAACCACAAATCAAAGGTTTCGGGCGGAACTGGACGGGAAATGAAGTCCATACCGGGCCCCCTCCGCCGAGATCCGCCCGAAACCTTTTTTTTTTTTTTGTTTTGTTTTTCAGTCCCTGCCAGCTTTTTTTTTGTTTTTTGTTTTTTTGTTTTGTTTTTTTTCAGTCCCTGCCAGCGTTTCGTGTTCCCAAGACGTTTTCTTATTGTTTTCCATTGTAAGGTTTTCTTTTAGTTTTCTATTGTAAGGTTTTCGTGTTGTTTTCCATTGTAAGGTTTTCTTATTGTTTTCTATTGTGAAGTTTTCTAATCGTTTTCCATTGTAAGGTTTTCTTATTGTTTTCCATTGTAAGGTTTTCTTATTGTTTTCCGGTGTAAGGTTTCTGATTGTTTTCCATAGTTGGGCGGATCTCGGCGGAGGGCCCGAAACCTTTGATTTTTGGTTTTTCAGTCCCTGCTGCTGATGATGATGATGATGATTAGGCGGTGGAGGAGGAAGAGGGTGAGGATGGGGACGAAGAGGGAGGAGGGAAAGAGAAATGATGAGTAATGCATTGCATCGCCGGCGACGCCCGCGTTGGCCGCTGACTTCACGTTCGAGGGAGTTTGGCACCGTGCGGGCGCGACTGTCGTTGGCTATCACGTGACGCAGTACGCGCATCTCCTGGGCCCAGCAGCTCACGCCGCTGGAGGGCGCGGCATTCTCCAGGACAGGGCCATGGTGACGGGGCCGAGCGCGCACAAAGGCGATTACGGGGTCTTCTTCCACGCCAGCCCCGAGGGCGCCTCATTCTACGTGCAGAGCTCGCGCCCGAAGTGGCCGGCCGAGCCCATGGCATTCCTGGAGCTCGAGGCCTGCTCTCTCAAGGCGGTGCGCGGGGGCATAGCGGGGCGCTACTGCGCGACTGGAATGCCCGGGCAGTTGAACCAAAAGGTGCGCATCGTGGCCCTGTGGGTCCTCGAAGAAGACATGCCGCGCGCCGCTGACCCAGGCGCAGCCGCCTTCCCCGCGAGGCCTCTCGCAGAGCTTGCACCGGCCGCTGTCCCGATGGAGTGGTCGGAGGCGGGCGTCGAGGCCGCGGCGTGCTGGGAGTGCCGGGTGATCGAGAAGACGGAGGATCGTTCCATGCCCGGGAACGGGTACTTGCACCTGGCCGCAGGCGACCGCGTGCGGGCATTGTCTCCGGCGGAGCCAGGGGGCCGCGGCAACGTCTTCTCGAGGTATGTGTTCGCGTGCAACCTCGAGAGCGGCCAGGAGGGCTGGGTGCCGACCCTCTGCCTGCACCAGGTCGGCTGCGGCGTCGCCGCGTGGGTTTTCGGCCTCGCGTCCAGGCCGGAGCTCAATGGCCGCGCGGGCCGAGTGCTGGGCGTCCAGCGGAACAGACTGGCGCTGCAGCTCGACGGCCAGAGGGTCGCCGTCAGGGAGGAGAAACTGCGCGTGGTCGACGAGGCTATCGAGTTGTTCGCGCGGCCTCAGATCAGGATGCACCCTGATCAGGGCGGTGACTGTTCTTCCTGTGCGCTGTGCGCGTGGCTCCGCGCGTGCGCGACAGCCTAGGAGCTCGGCGCCGCCGTGTGCAATCGCATTAATTAACGCGCGGCCAGGGCCTGCAGTGCCGCCCGTTTCAAGCGCCATAGCGCGCGCACGCTCCTCCTGCTAATCCCATCGTGCTCGCCGGGCGGGCGCAAGCACCCGGCGCGCATCGGCAATGATTATTAATGTTCATTGTTCTTCTTCTCATGATTGAAAAACAGATGAGTTTCTCTGCCTCTTCTCACATGCTCTTGAATTGATCATTCGTCTCGGGCGCTCCAGTGCTGTCGGCGCGTTGCCCGTTTCGTTATTCGCAGTCGAGCCTGCCGCCGCTGCGCCGCATCATCGCGTCGGCCATGCCGACGAACGCCATGGAGTACCGCAGCCCGAGATTGGTTTTCCCGGGTCCGAAGGAGGGAAGGGCACGCGTCCCAGCTGCCGCTGTGCTGCGCAGGCCTGCCGCCAAGGACGATTGGCACGAAGGTGAAGGCGTTGCCCAAGAACGTGAAGTACGTCCGACATGGGTTGGCTAGCGCCAAGAGCCGCATCGACCGCCAGAGCTGGTGCGCGTCATTAGAAGCATTGTTCCAGATGAGCGAGAAGAAACTGATTGACCACCTGACCAAGACGAAGATTCTGAAGGATTGGGATGGCGAGAGTTGCCCCGTGTGCGGCGATGGGACAGTGCACTTTCTTCGTCGTCGGCCGGGGGACCGCGGGTGGGCGTTCAAGTGCGGGGCCGCGGGGTGCAGGGCGTGGGTGCCGCCGCGCCGCAGCCGCCCGATATTCAAACTCCCCAGTGGTCCGCATGGAGTATCGCTTCAAGACCAGGCTGCCGTGCTCTTCTGCGCGACGGCCGGGGTGATGCAGTCCGCGTGCCACTTGCTGACGGGCAGGAACCACAAGGTCATTGAGGGGTTGTACATGAGGCTGCGCGAGGCGCGGTCGAAGTTCGTGGAGAAAAAGCAGAAGGGGATGAAGTTCGGCCAGAATGGGCGCTGGAACGACATAGAGGCCGACGAGGTCGACCTCCGCAAGATGATTCCAGATTCCATCGACACGAAGAAGAAAGACGTCTCCTGGGAGCAGTGGGGCGGCATCGTGGAGCGCGGCGACCCAACGTCCCTGGTGCTCTGCCGCCTCGACTCGTCGAAGACGGTTCGCCGCGTCCCTGGCCCGGGGGCCATGCGGAAGCGCGACTGGGCGCCGATCGCCGCCAAGTTCCCCAGGTCCAGGAAGGTCTTGCTCCACGCGGACGGGGCGAGAGCTTGCAAATTTAAGTTGGGCGGCGTCTTGCGCGACAACGTGGCCCGCCAGAAGAAGCGCGTCGTGATCAAGGGCAAGGCCGTGTGGATCAAGCCCAGCTTCACCAAGGCATCCCTGGCAAGGGCGACCTCTACGTGAAGGCTGGCACGCAGATCATCGACCGCGCCTGGCGGCGCCTGCGCGGTTGTTTGGAGGGCGTGACGGCCGCGGTCGGGTCTGGCATGCTGCGCCGTCGGGTGAGGTCCGCCCAGTGGGCCAACTGGATGCGGGGTCGCGATTTGTGGCAGGCCACAGGGGACATGATCTCGAAGCTCGTGTGATAGGTGCTGCGCTGCAGCACGCGGGGAGCTATTCTGGGGCCTTGGGTCTTTCGATTCGCGCGAGTTGCGCCGCGGGCAGTCCATGCAGAAGGCTGCCAGTGCGATCATATATGCACTTGGGGAGCGTGCAATGTGTCTCTTCGGCTTCAGAATGAAAAAGATGATTGTCCCATCTCTCTCTGTCTCTCTCTTTCTCGCTATGTCTTTTACTTTTCCCCGTTGAGATGGGGTCCCCGTGGTGTGTGTGTGTGGTGTGTGGGGGTGTGGGGGGTGGGGTGGGGGGGGGGTGGGGGGGTGGGGGGTGGGGTGGGGGGAGGTGGGGGTGGGGTGGGGGGTGGGGTGGTGTGTGTGCGTGTGTGTGTGTGTGTGTGTGTGTGTGTGTGTGTGTGTGTGTGTGTGTGTGTGTATGGGTGGGGTGGGGGGTGGGTGGGTGGTGGTGGTGGTGGTGGTGGTGGTGGTGGTGGTGGTGGTGGTGGTGGTGGTGGTGGGGGGCTAACATATATATACACACGTATGTATGCATATGCATGTATATATATATGTAAATGTACGTGTACATGATCATGCATATGTGTATGTGTATGCGTATGTATATGAATTTGTATAGGTTTCTGAATATGTGTATGTACACGTCCATGTATATGTACATGTGTATGTGCATGTATATGTACACGCATATGTATATTCATACGAACATATCCATATGTTTGTATGTAATTGTATATATATATGCATATGTATATATGTATTTTATATGTATATGTGTACGCATGTGTATTTGTAGACATGTGTATATGTATACGCGCATGACTGTATACATGCTTAAATATATACATGTATATATGCATATATGTATTTATGTATGTGTATATTTGTACATATACATATATCCATGTATACAGGTATATGTATTTGTGTATGCCTATGTATGTGTATGTGTATGTGTATGTGTATGTATGCACGCATGTGTGTGTATGCATTGTGTATGTATGTAAGTCGGTATTCAAGTAGGTACGTCGGCGCGCATGTATGTATGTATGTATGTATGTGTATGTATGTATGTATGCATGTGCATGCATGCATGCATGCATGCATGCATGTATGTATGTATGTATGTATGTATGTATGTATGTATATATGCATGCATGCATGCATGCATGCATGCATCTGTGTATGTATGTATGTATGTATGTGTGTATATGTACGTATAAGTTCACCTGCATGTGTTTGTTGCTATAGAGAGTATCGGACAGAGAACCGGGGATGGCAGCAATACGCGCTCCAGAAGACCCCAGATGCCACGGGGAGGTCTCGAAGAGGCGTCCAAGGCTTCCAAATCGCCTCCAAGAGGCCTTCGAGAGGTCCCCGAATGGCCCTCCAGGTGGCTACAGATTGCTTCTAACAGGACCCAGATCGACAACACGTTCATCTCTACAAACCACCCTTCGGGTGAGAAGGGCCTGTTTTTGGGGTGTGTGGGAGGGGGGGCTCGGTTTGTGATTGGCATTGGATCGGACTCGCGATCTACAGTTCTATAGATATGGATATCGCTATACAGTGGTCCTCACTATCTATCAGTCGATCCGACTTCCAGAATATTAGTAGTTCTCCCTTTCTCTCGATCTAGTTTTCCAGTGTTTGTTTTTCTTGTTTCTTTCTTTCTTTCTCTCTCTCTCTCTCTCTATCTCTCCGCGGAGAAATGTAATTTTTCATCCAGGGCAACTCTTTAAATCTCAAGGTCAAACTCCAGCTCCTACAAATTCTTTCCTGGATCCGCCGCGTGGGACATCCTCAAACAACTCCCATTGAGGGACGTTGGTTGGTTGGTTGGTGGGCGGGTTGGTTGGTTGGTGGGTTGGTTGGCTGGTTGGCTTGCTGGTTGGCGCATCGGTTTCCAGGCCATTTTTTTTTCCGAGGCGATGGGGTGGTTGGTTTGTTGGTTTGCTAGCTGGCTGGCTGGTTGGTTAGGCGGTTGGTTCATTGGTTGGCCAGTTGTTTGGCTGGTGGTCGGTTGGTCGGTTGGTTGGGTGGCTGGGTGGCCGGTTGCCCGTTTGCCCGCTTGCCCGGGTGGTTGGCTGGTTCTCCCCTCCACTTCCCCTCCCCTCTACCCCTTTCTGCCTCCTCATTCCTCCGGCTTCCCCCCCCTCTTCTCTGTACCTTCCTCCCTTCTGCTCCCTCCCTGTCCTCCTCCTCCTCCTTCTCCTCCTCCTCCCCCTCGCCCGTAACTTACTTCAATGGAATGTATTGCAACTGCGATGCAAATTCAACGCAGTGCAATGCAATGCAACGCAACATGACACAATGCAACGCAATGCAACGCAATGCAACGCAGTGCAACGCAAATGCAACGCAATGCAATACAAGGCACTGCAAATGCAACGCAGTGCGATGTAACAGGATGGATGCAGCACAAGTCAGCGCAGCACAGTGCAGTGCAACGCAGCGCACTGTGAGGCAGTCCGGTGCATCGCAGCGCAGTGCAGTGCACGCCTCGTCGTGCGGCAGCGCCGCGGGGCCGACAAGAAGATGCCTCTTTCACTCCCCTCGCCACGCGCCCGCTCGCCCGCCCGCTCGCTCGCCCCCTCGCGCGGGCCTCCCATCCACTCCACCCCGCGCCACTCCATTCCACTCGGGGGTGGACAGAACCCCCAACAGTGACACGTCGATTAGTGAATTGTCCTTTTTCGGTTCTCGAGAGGGCGCCGCGGCCGTTATTTTCCAGGCTCGCGCCCGCCAGGTTTGGGCCTCAGGTCGTTTTCACTAAACCACGTTTTTCTAAAGGGAGGTCTGTCCATCCCCGATCCACCCGCTCCTCTGTCCATTCCGTGCCAGTCTGTCCGTTCCACTCCATCCCGTTCCGTCGCACTCCTTCCCTTCCTGCGCCCCGCGGTGATTCCAGGTCGAGGCAATTCAATCTGGGCCAGGCGGTACGGTAGAGGGAAACAATTACTGAACACTCCCCCTCCCCCCAACCTCAACGTTGGCACGCGCGGGGGAAACTGCGGTCGAAGTGCATATCATCAGACCCACCGCCAACTTTGAACATTGGGTTGGGGGGAGGGGGAGCCGTTGACAGATGAATGTGGCATCATGAGTGTTCGCTAATTTGTTCCGAGGCCTGTATGGGGTACCCCCGAAACAGGCACCGGGACGGGCTGGCCGGCTGGCTGGCTGGCTGGCTGGCTGGCTGGCCTCCCTGGTTGCTGGGGGGAGCCGGCACCCCGAGGCCGATTGCGGCACACCCCCCACACGGATCGCGCCTAGGGTTAAGTCGGGCGTGTCCCCCTCTACAGGGGGATTTTCGAGGAAAAATAGAACATACCCCCAAAAATAATCAGAAAATTATCCAAAAATAGTTTGGGGACTATTTTTGAATATTTTTCCCAACCATCCTGTGGTGTTGTGTCCTCGTTTTGAAGAGACGTCGCCCGGCGTTCCCCTCCTCCTCCCTCTCCTCCCCCCTTCTCCCTGCGTTTCACCCACCCAGTACAGCGTTTCGTGGCCCCATAGGGAGCTCCACCGAAGGCTCCAGTGGCTGCGTTCGCATGGTGGCCCCGCCCCATTTTGGCGCACCCCTCACGAGGATCGTGGCCCCATAGGGAGCTCCACCTAAGGCTCCAGTGGCAGCGTTCGCATGTGGGCCCCGCCCCATTTCGGCACACCCCTCACGAGGATCGTGGCCCCATAGGGAGCTCCACCGAAGGCCCCAGTGGCTGCGTTCGCATGTGGGCCCCGCCCCATTTCGGCACACCCCTCACGAGGATCGTGGCCCCATAGGGAGCTCCACTGAAGGCCCCAGTGGCAGCGTTCGCATGGCGGCCCCGCCCCATTTTGGCGCACCCTTCACGAGGATCGTGGCCCCATAGGGAGCTCCACCGAAGGCTCCAGTGGCTGCGTTCGCATGTGGGCCCCGCTCCATTTTGGCGCACCCTTCACGAGGATCGTGGCCCCATAGGGAGCTCCACCGAAGGCTCCAGTGGCAGCGTTCGCATGTGGGCCCCGCCCCATTTCGGCACACCCCTCACGAGGATCGTGGCCCCATAGGGAGCTCCACCGAAGGCCCCAGTGGCAGCGTTCGCATGGCGGCCCCGGGCCATTTCGGCACACCCCTCACGAGGATCGTGGCCCTATACATACGGGAGCTCCACCGAAGGCCCCAGTGGCAGCGTTCGCATGGCGGCCCCGGGCCATTTCGGCACACCCCTCACGAGGATCGTGGCCCCATAGGGAGCTCCATCGCCCCAGTGGCAGGGTTCGCATGGCGGCCTCGGGCCATTTCGGCACACCCCTCACGAGGATCGTGGCCCCATAGGGAGCTCCACCGAAGGCCCCCAGTGGCAGGGTTCGCATGGCGGCCCCGGGCCATTTCGGCATTCCCCTCATGAGGATCGTGGCACCATAGGAGCTCCACCGAAGGCGCGAATGGCAGTCTCCCTCATGGCTCTCAGAACCCTTTCCTGCTTCTGCTCTTCGGTCAGGGGGACGTCGTCGTGGTCGTCGGCGCCCGCGAAGACGGCCACAAACGTGTCCCTGAGCATGTAGGGCTCCGGCTGGAAGCCGTGGCCACATAGGGAGCGCGGGCGAAAATGGTATTCACAATTGCTGTATCCACAATTGCGTATGGTTGGGTCCTTCGCCAGGCTAATTTGACCTTTTGGGGGTATGTTTGGGGTATTTTTTTATTTTTCGTCGAAAATCCCCCTGTAGGGGGACACGCCCGACATAAGCCTAGGGGGCCGAAGAGGCACCACCGAGGCCCCAAAGACGCTCCGAGCAGGCCCCAGCCAGCTCCCAGAAGCCACCCAGAGGTACCCCGCGCCGAAAAGGACCCCGAACTGCCTTCAAGAGCTCCCAAAAGGCCTCCAAGAGAGCTCCAAGATGCCCCCAAGGGGCCTCTCGAGCGGCTTTTGGGGGCATGTGCAAGCCTCGGAAGCGCATCAGAGGCGGAAGTGCGAGAACACACAAGCACATATTTCCTCGTGTTTTTCCAAATCAGCCTGTGGTGTTTGGGTCCTCGTTTTGAAGGAACGGTCCCCGTGTTCTTCTCTTCTCTTCCTCCTCCTCCTCCTCCTTCTCCTCCTCCTCCTCCTCCTCCTCCTCCTCCTCCTCCTCCTCCTCCCCCTCCTCCCCCTCCTCCCTTCTCCCTGCGTTTCACCCACGCAGTGCAGCGTTTCGTGGCCCCATCGGGAGCCCCATCGAAGGTCCCAGTGCTACCGTCCGCATGCATCCCGCACACCCAGTGCAGCGTTTCGTGGCCTCATAGGAAGCCCCACCGAAGGTCCCAGTGCTACCGTCCGCATGCGTCCCGCACACCCAGTACAGCGTATCGTGGCCCCCTCCTCCCTCCTCCCTGCGTTTCGCCCACCCAGTACAGCGTCGTGGCTCCATAGGGAGCCCCACCGAAGGTCCCAGTGCTACCGTCCGCATGCGTCCCGCACACCCAGTACAGCGTTTCGTGGCCCCATAAGGGGGCCCCACCGAAGGTCCCAGTGCTACCGTCCGCATGCGTCCCGCACACCCGGTACAGCATTTCGTGGCCCCATAGGGAGCTACCGAAGCCCCCAGTGGGACCGTCCGCATGCGTCCCGAAAACCAATTGGGCATTTTCACCCACCCAGTACAGCGTTTCGTGGCCCCATGGGGAGCTCCGCCGAAGGCCCCAGAGCCACCATCCGCAGGCGTACCGAAAACCGAATTGGGTATTTCCTCATCCAGTACAGCGTTTCGTGGCCTCATAGGGAGCTCCACCGAAGCCCCCAGTGGGACCGTTCGCATGCGTCCCGGAAGCCCAATGTGGCATTCTCACCCATCCAGTATAGCGTTTCGTGGCCCCATAGGGAGCTCCGCCGAAAGCCCATGTGCCACCGTCCGCATGCGTCCCAGAAACCCACATTGGCATTTTCACCCACCCAGTACAGCGTTTCGTGACCCCATAGGGAGCTCCACCGAAGCCCCAGTGGGACCGCCGCATGCGTCCCACACACCCCGTGCAGCGCTTCGTGGCTTCACCGAAGAAGATATTCACAATTGCGGTACCCACAAGTGCATATGGTTAGGTCCTTCGCCGGGATAGTTTCAGTGATTCTGGTTTCCCGAGGGCTTCCCCAGAGCTCTCGGGGGATTGTTGGAGCTCTCTTGGGGCCATCTTGGGTGCTCGTGGGGGCCTCCAGAGCCCACTTCTAGAAACATGGAATTCCCTCACATCCCCTTTTTCGAGGTTGACCCCTTGCTCTCTCTCCTGCTCTTGGTTCTCCTCCGTCTCCCGTTCCACATCCTTCTCATTCCTCTCCTCCTCCATCCTCCCCTGCGTCATTTTCCCTCCTCCCTCCTCCTCGTCTCCCCTTCACGCCTTCCTCTCTCCGCCTCTTCCATGCGTTTCTGTCATTTCCATCCCTCATCCTCATGTCTCCTTCAGTCCTTCCTCTTTCCGCCTCACTCACCCAGCATTCTGCTTCACTATTGGGTAGGAGACCCGGCTTGACAAACACAGGGAATCTCCTCAAGTCTTTTTTTCCAAGGTCTACCACCACCTCTATTCCCTCCTGTACCAGGCTTTGGCGTGCCCCCGAGTGCGTCTCCGTTTTCCCCATCCCTCGCTGTCCGTTCGTTCTGATTTCTCTTTCTTGCTCTTGGTTTTCCTCCGCCTCCCGTTCCACATCCTTCTCCTTTGTGTCCTCCTCCCTTTTTCCCCGCTTCCTCATTTCCCTCTTCCCTCTTCGTCGTCTATCCTGCACGCCTTCCTTTCTCCGCCTCCCTCATGCGTTTCCGTATCCCCCCGCCCCTCGCTGTCCGTTCTCCCTGATCTTTCCCTTGCTCTTGGTTCTCCCGCGTCTTCCGTTCCACGTCCTTCTCCTTCCTCTCCCCTCCCTTCTTTCCGCTGCGCCTTTTATCTCTTCCCTCCTTCTCGTTTCTCCTTCACGCCTGGTTGTTCAATGATTTTGGGGCCTCTCGAGGGCCTCCTCAGCTCTTGGGGGGCTCTTGGAGGCCTCAAGGGGCGATCTTGGGTGCTCCTGGGGGCCTCCACAGCCAACTTGTAAAACTAGGAATTCCCTCATACTTCTTTGTTCAAGGTCGACTCCCCCTCCGTTACATCCTGCTCCAGGTTTTTGGTGCCCCAGAGTGCTTTTCCGTTTTCCCCATACCTCGCTGTCCGTTCTCCTTGGTCTCTCTCTCTCTCTCTCTCTCCTGTTCTTGGTTCTCCCTCTCTCTCACCCGTCTCCCGTCACATCCGTCTCCTTTGCCTCCCCCTCTCCTCCCCACTGCGTCATTTTCCCCCTCCCTCCTCGTCTCTCCTTCACGCCTTCTTCTCTCCGCCTCCCTCATGCGTTTCAGTCATCCCCATCCCTCATCCTCACTCTCCTCCAGTCCTTCCTCCTTCCGCCTCACTCACCCAGCATCCAGCTCCACTATTTGGTAGAAGACCCAGCTTGACAAAAGCAGGGAATTCCTTCAACTCTTTGTTCCCAACCATCCTGTGGTGTTGGGTCCTCGTTTTGAAGAGACGTCGCCCCGCTTTCCTCTTC